GTTTCTAATTCCCCCTCCCTCCCTTCCTTCCTCCTCGGAAAGATAAACGTTTGAACAACAATGAGGTATCCAACTACTAATCGAAAGCAATATAGCTCTGCACAGATCAGCTCCGTGATGGAATAAAGAAGTGAGCACGGATCTAAGCACCTTCTCTTCATATCATAGCCTTCATGTTGTTTTCAGGAGCATTTTTGTCAGGCAGTGATGAAAGGCTGAGAACAAAGTGAACAAAATTTCCTTTTACTGCTTAAAAATTCTCAGCTGCTTTGCTATATCAAAATGCTGTCTCTTTAAACAAATCGCATGGTTAAAAATGCCAAGTTATAATTCAGCAACTAACTCTGAAAATGACAATTTAATCAATCAGAACCAACCCTCCTGAAAAAGAGGGGTGGAAAAAAAAGGAAAAAAAATCTTAAAGCTTTCATGCAATGCGAGTGGTTGAAACTATAAAAATGTTCAATCACTGTAGAACAAGCCTGCAGCATCAATGTTTATTAAAGTCAGGGGAGCCATTTATTGACCTGGGAAACAGCAAAGCACCAGCAGCACTGCTGGATTGCATTTTTATGGTTAACAAACGGAGGGTGATATTTTCTTTTTTCTCTTTTAATTGTGATTCCTTCAAATCCAAAAAGTTAAAAGCCTCCTGATTTTTAAAGGAAAGCAAAGAGAAAGATATTCCACACTGTTCTGCAGTCATTCTCTTTGCTCTGGCTCCTAACATGGGCAGATATCAAATAATTTCAAATATTTTGGCTTCTCCACATGCCAGCAGAATGACAGACCAGCATGAGTTCTCTCCACCACTTCAGCTGATGGCAGAATATAGGGAGCTGCCATTATGAGGCTGGTTCTTTCTGTAATCAAAAAGGAATTACTCTATTTATTCATACAAAGGTCACCCTGCCACTGGACCAGCCAAAAGCACTCAGAATGAACTGTCCCCTCCCAAACTGACACCAGGCATTTTCTCCAAAGACACATCTTAGTTGTTCTGGAGATTTTGTAACTCTGTTTTGCCACAAGCACATTTTTAAAACACCTTTCCATGCTGCACAAATTGCGAACTACTGAAGGCTATTAAAAGAGTCAGCAACGTGAATGGCACTCACAGATCCGTGTTACCCAAATTACAGGAATCTGGCTCCTGCTGCATTCTTTCCACATCATTCCCATCCCCAGGAAAACCCATGGTCAGCTGAGGAACGTGGGGCAGGGATTTAAAACACCCTCTGTGTGTCAGCTGCTGCAGGAAACAGGACTCCTGTACAATTAACCAATATGATTCAGCAGAAGCCATTTATTGTTTACATTACCCACTTATTTACACATTCTAGCTCTACTGCACACGTTGATCGTGCTCTTCTTCATTGGTGCCTCTATCCTGTCCACAACTCCTGCATGCTCTCCTCAGAGTATGTGCTCAGTTATAGTCTAGGTGGTTCACAGCTCTCTGTTATCTAGTTCTTGTGGTCTTGGTATCCTGTTTCTCAGCCTCTTCTTCTTTCTTAATTTCGCACAGTTTATGTCTTAGTAACCTCGATGCATCCCAGAGGGCTCTGAGAGAACTCTGTAGGAATAGCTACAAAGGTATGGCTGGTGCACAGTGGGCTTAACTTGTTCAGATATACTGCTACAAGCTGCCACCTAAACCGGTGTCAATGCCAGAAAAGAAAAAAAAAAAAAAAAAAAAAAGAAAAGAAAAGAAAAAAAATACAAAAAAAACCAGGGTGAATCAGTGAATCTTCAAAAGCGAAGAGGGTAAATCAGCACGGTGTGAAGGAGAGCTGGAGCCACCCTGTATCCTCCGTGGATGAGGTGAGGATGAGCAGAGCGGGTTGTACAGGAGCACATCAAAGGTGATGAATATTGTAACAAATCCCCGGGCACCCAGCACCTCAGCAGCCGTCAATGCACCGCATGCATTAGCGGCTCAGAGCAGGGTGGGAGCAGCAGAGATGAAAAACGAGTTCTCCACATGTGGAATCTCCTCTGCCACGAGGAGGATTTCACACTCTCTCCCTGGGGAGCACAGGGGATAAAATTGCTTACCTGATCACACCCAGTCCTAGTGCATGCAGCACCTCACACCTTCCTTTCAGGTTTGCAAACAGCTCCACTTCTCACTTTCTTTTCCTCATTCATAGAGAAAAACACATAATGTCCTTACTTAAAACACATAAGTTTTAAGTTTGATACAAATTAATGATTCGCCTGTCATACTATAAGAATTTTGATATTTGCAAAGAAGGGGAAAAGGCTTCAGGTATTTGGAGAGCTGTAAAAACTCCCTCGGAATTCAAAGAGAGATCATAAGAAATCAAATCAACTGATGGGCTGCTGTAAGGTTTGAGATACCCTTTTGCACTAAAATCACACTACTACGATAATATGAATAAAGAAAAGGTTATGGAAAAAGTTAGCCATGAGTTCCCTCAAATTAGATCCCATTGGCGTGAAATTACTTCACAGCTGCCACATGTGTAGCTCCAAGTGAGATTACTCTTTAAATAATGTTAATGACAACTTTGATTTGACTTCTGTAATTACTAGAGGGAGCAGGGACCACATTTCCTAGGAAGAAAAATCTTTTATCTGCTTGTTTAATGTACAATCTTTGATGAGATGGAACTCCTTTCCCCCAAGTTATTTCTTGAGTATTTTTGTTTTGAAAAAGAAATTGATTTCCAGGTTGAAAATGGAGTTGCTGTGAAGCACTCAGCTGTGGGAGAGCGTCTAATTGTCATTTCCAATGACCCTCAATTCTTCTCTAAACACAGAGAGATTCTTTTTGTCTCCTAACTCTCCTCACCCTCACTCCACTTCACAAGCAGGCGTATTTACAGGGCTGGATTCTTCTCTGAGTTACCTCCACCACCACCAGTAAATCATAAAAATTTCTCCTGCAATCAATGGAGTGTCTTCACATTTACCAGACAGTATAATCTGGTCCACAAGGCAGCTGATTGTTATCTATAACCTCCCTATCCAATTCAAGTGATGGGAGATGCAACCCAAAAATTTCCTTTGGGCTTTTTTACTGCCAGAATAGATCACATTCTTTGGCAGCCTTTTTACAATCTCCACTTTTCTAAATAAACATCACAGAACCTGTACTGCTTTTACTGCAAAATGCTTCTGCCTGCCTGTATCGAGGCAGGTTTTTAGCTGACGTGCCAACAGTGACAGAAACTCTGTGCAGGTCTGGGGTGCAGCACCAAGACATGGGGTGCAGTGGGGACCAGGAGCACCAGGAATAATCTTCATGGTTAGATAAGGTGAAAACCCTTTGAACTCTCCCCACCCCAGTTAGACACTGCATGGTGATGTAAATTATCAGAATGCAGCTCCCAGAGAATTTTGGGGCAGGATGCTCCTTCTCAACAAACGTAGGGAGGAGCTGTTACGTGCAGTGCCCAAATCCCAAACAGGCTGTGAGCAGGGTCTGCTGAGGAATTGTTGAGCTGGGACGTTCTGCAGGATGGAGGGACAGAAACAGCTCGTGAAAAGGCCACCAAGCAAAGCCAGGCACTACCACAGCTCAGTGGCTGCAGAAGTGCTGAGGAGAGCACAGTATTTAGCAGAAATCATTCAAAGTACATTCCTGGACTGCAAATGAACCGAAACTGCTCAGAAAAGCCCTGACGTTGAAGGTCATGCAATTAAACACAGGGCTCTGATTTGCAATGATCAACAAAAAGTAAGTGCATTATTAAAATGCACGGCAAATAGAACATAACACCAAAAATGGACAGATTCTGACTGTACTGTGCCATTACATTAATTAACAGCTTTCCCCTATTGGCTTGCTCACCAAGATTCAAACATATTCATTCTTTGATGAACATTTGTATTCAGAAAATGGCAAATTTCTTCCCAGCCTTCTTTTGTTGGGAAGGGATGATAGCTATTAATGAGAAAGGGAACAGAGAAGGAGCAAAACAGCCTAGCTGCCACACTCTCAATGTGACTTTCTCACTGGGGCCTTGAACTTGAGAGCAGCTTCAACTCATTTACAGAGCCTGGGAATGAAGGTGCCTTCCCTATGTGAAAATTAAATATTTTCACGCAGTGTTATGACTTTGCCTTGAAGCGTTTGTGGCTCCATGTTTCATTGGCATTTGTGGTCATTTTAGTCCACTGAGTGTAAATGTGTAATAAGGGTGCCTGGATGTGGATAATTCTCCCTCCTTTCCCACTGCAATCAGGATTTGTCCTTCATTATACCTTTCTGTGGAGTCTATTACGGCATAAATCTTTACAGAGTTCTTCAAGCTTTGACCTACATCTTGCATATATGGGAACTTTTCTCCCTAAATTGTCTTTTGGAGCACACCAGTTCATTAAAGTTTTGAACACCGAACCCTCACTCTTATTGCTTTATCACCCAGTTTATGTGCCAAATGTCAAAACAGGCATCAGAAATCTGATTTATGAGGATATATAGAGAAATTGTGGTATGTGCTTCTGACTGGGAGTCAGTTGGCAATTCCCTATCAGGATTTCTTCCTCAGCTCCCAGTGCCCAGCAGGGCAGTCCAACACCAGTGCTGACAACACTGAATTCACAAATCACAATTCAGGACTAACCAAGCTTTGAAGCTTTTTGTAATGTCTTTGAATTTGTGTACTTTCCAGTTTTAATCACATCTGACCATTTTTTGATATTTTTTTTTAAATAAAAGTCAGTGCTGATTGTAAAAAAATAAAATATTGTAAAGTGAAGAAGTCTCCAAATGCCAGTGTGAGAAGTATTTTTTATTCTTTTCGAAATACCAGAAAATTATGGATGAAGCTGCAAACCGGCAGCACTACACAACACACAAGCACGTGTAAGGCATGCCAGGTTCACGTACTGATTTACCATTTCACACCGAAGCGGATTTACGCCCTGCTCACACCCCCGACCCTCACCCCGCACAGCCGTAAAGTTAATTTCTATCGCTGTTTTTACACCACCAGCTCACCCCCCAGCCCGGCGGCTCCCGGGGCGTGGGCAGGGAGCCGTGCCCGCGGCCGCCCCCGGCCGGAGGGTGGAGCCGCGCCGCCGCCGCCTCGCCCCGCTCCTCCCGCGGCGTGCGCGGCCTCGGCGCTACGCGAGCGCGGGGATCCGCCGCGGCCTGCGGGCCGCCATGGCCGGGGAGGTGAAAACCAAGCTGTCCAAGAACCTGCTGCGCATGAAGGTGACGGGGAAGGAGGGGAGGGCGAGCCTGAAGCCTGCGGGGGGGCTGGAAGCGGGGGCGGCAGGGCCGGGCCGGCAGCGATGGCGAGCGGGGCCCGGCGCTGCGGGCGCGGCCGGGTGCGTGTCCCCGGCCACACGCGGCCGTCCCGGAGCCCTGGTGGGGCATGGCCGAGCCCATCGCCGGCCACGCGATCCTTCTCTCCCACCCACGCTCTGGATGAACAGATGTGGTTAGCCACGGGCCGCTCTCGGGCTTGCTGAGCTGCTCCCCCGGCAAGGAATCACCGATGCCGGCACCGAGGTGCGGGGTTACGACTGCAGGGTTCGGTGCAGGGGAGCAGCCTCATGATTCCAGCGAAAGTCTGGCCTCAAGGGCCGGCCCCAGCGCTGCTTTTGGGAGTGCTTTCGTTCCAGCTCGCTCCTCTGCAGCTGGGTTGTTTGTTGTGAATTTAAATAAAAATATTCCAACAGCACATTGAAGTGAAAATATCAATGCTGTTTGCTTTGCTTGGGAACGGGGGTTTTAGTATTGAGAAAAAAAAAGGTTTGGTGTGTCCATTTTTACCCCTGTTTACATGGCTGGCTAAGGAAATCCCAGCCTGAATGGGGATTAACATCGAGTATTAACCACCTTTCCCAACTCATCAAAGCCAGGGATCTTAGTAACATCCCGATGTGCTTATTACCCTTGGAATTGTGAATCTCATGTCACTAGTGTGAAATTAGTCTCTGCTCACTGGCTAATGGATTCTGCTTCACACCATGTACTACAACTCCTAATTCAGTAGAGTACGTTCTCTGATTGATGGTCCTTTATTGCTGGAAAACAACCAGAAAAAGTTGAGTGCCTTCTTGTCTTTTTTTTTGTGTTAATATTCAATTTTTTAACTGAACATGATGGGGCCTTTGTGGCTTCTTGCTTGTGGTGTTTTATTTAGCCAGTTTTTCCCTGCGTATATGTGCCTATATTTCACATTCTGGCTGAAAAGAGTTAGCTGACTTCAGTTCAATTTTTCACATAAAGTGCACTCTGCTACAGTTGGATGATGGAATATTTACCCTAATTAGCAGATGCTTCTAAATCTAAAACTTGTACACAGAAGGAACAAAATACATCTTGCCTCGCTCTCAAAAGGGAGTAGGTGTTGAACTGAGTCAGCCAGCAATGTGTGATACAGATTCCCATAACCTGGATGGCAGCATCATTACTTTTTCTTATTTTTATATAATACACTTTTAAAATGAAATTTTTCTTTTTGTTGTTTGCCAGTATACTAACCCCCTGGAGATTTCAAAAGCAGGTTTTTGGCTTGTTTTTCTCTGGAAGGCCATGGAGAACCAGCCATGTGAATATGCTGCCATGACATTTGCAGGTTCACAGTCCACGCAGTAATAACCAGCTTTGAAGAGATCAGCAGGTTTTGAAAAGGTCATACACAGATCTCGCATTTAGCCCTTTGTTTCTGCAGATCCTCCTGTTTACAAATGTTTTAATTAAGCTTTTAGCAGCTGCCTCTGCAGGTAGTGATCCAATGTATTACCAGGATTCAGCAGGTGGGTGCAGTGCACCCAGAGGTGACTTGTGGTTGGTGGTGTTGGGAGGACCATTTGCAGTAAATTGGCCACATGGAGACACCCTTTTAGGTCTTGCACCATTTGATCCAGGTCTCATAGCTTGGGGAAACTCACCCAAACAACTCCTCAGTTACTGACTTACATATTCTGTGCCTACAACAACTGGTATATTTTTAATTCATCAGTGTGTGTTTACATTCGAGAGAAACCTGATCGCATAATTTTTATCTAGGTTTTTCCTGTAGTAATCTTCAGGAACATAATCTTTAAAATGGAGTGTGAAATGATTATTTAATTGGGTTCTTGTAGCAGAATTTCTTGTGTTGAGATTTTCGACTGGCTAACCAATTTCCTTGAGCAATATGTTTTTCCACATGATAGATTCACTTATTTTCCTCAAGAAGATACTGTAATTTTAATTGGAAAGCTTTGACATATTCTGAATCGACTCAGAAAACAGAAGTCAATTTTTCTTTCATTAAAGATCTTGTACAGTGGATGCAAATAGAAAATTAAACACTAGCTCTGTTGGCTTGTACTTCTGAGTTTGGCTTGGAGGCATTCTGTAAAGAGTGAAAAGATGTGTGGGTTGTTTATAATACATACACTGCACCCCTATATCACCTATATATTTTTACAGGACTGTGTGTGAACTGTACTGTTAGACTTGCCTCTCTATCTGGGAGTTAGATTGGTATAAATGTAGACCTCTGACAGGTAAAATTATCCAAACACTTTCTGTAGATCCTCAGGGAGGTCCCAACTGTTAGGAGGGTGGGACTATGTGGATTATCACCATGAAATTTTGAAGAGTTCTGGTTTTTCCCAACCTGTTTCATTGACATTGTTTAGACTTAATTGTCACTCAGTTCAGGCACCTGACTTAAGACAAATGGAAATTAAACTGCTGTTTCACAGGCCTCAGGTCTGTGGTTGTGTGCTCTCAGCAGTTTTTTATAGGCTGTGACAGATGTCTTCTTCTACTCCCAGCTGTTGAGAGGTTACAGTTCCTACCTGCCTGTTCCCATCCTCTGACAGGGGTTATCACCAAGGAAGCAAGTGACAGGAGTGTCCTTGTATTAGGAAAAAATAGCAGTCTTGCCCTAAACTTCATTCTTGGCCTCAGCTGTTTTGGCAGCCTGTTCCTGCAGTGGGTTAACAGGTCCTTAAATCCAGTGCTGGACCAGTACTTTGGTGGGTCAGTGAGAACTGAAGAGCTGGGAACATCTTCCTTTAGCTCAGCTGGATAGAGGCGTTTTCTTCATTGTCTGGTTTCAAAGTCTTACATTTTTCCACTTCCAAAGGCAGGTTTGTGCCTTCAGAGCTACAAATGCAATCCAGTTCATTAAATCTGAGAAAAGAAGAGGAGACTTGAAAGTACAGATGTTTCGAAAAATGACCAGCCTGGTATGATCCACCTCCAGCTCTGAGCTCCAGTGCTGTTTGTGTGGGTGGAGTTGGTCCTGATGTGCAGCAGTAACTTCAACACCATTATCTTCTTTCTGGCCTCTACTGAAACATTAGAAAAACCTCAGTAAAATCAGGGAATTGTGACAACTCCAATCCATCAAAACTAGCCAGGATAGTTTGTTTATATGTAAGTGCAGGTGTGACTGACTGTTGACTTTCAGTAGATAGCTGTGATCAGCAACTGTTTTAATTTTCTATTGTCTGTTTGCACAAACTTTGACCCAACTCAAAGAAAAAAAAATCACAAAAAACATTTACTTTGTATCAACTGCTAAAGATTATGTAATGGATAATTGCTATCATGTAATTACTGCATGTTCAGAAGATTCTCATATCCACAAAAAACATTTGCTTTGTATCAACTGCTAAACATTATGTAATGGAGTAATGGATAATTGCTATCATGTAATTACTGCATGTTCAGAAGATTCTCATGATGCAGAAAACTGAAGCTGTATGTTTGTGTCTTTCTTTGTAGTTTATGCAAAGGGGTTTGGATTCACAAACTAAAAAACAACTAGAAGAAGAAGAAAAGAAGATAATTAGTGAAGAACACTGGTATCTTGATGTACCAGATCTAAAGGAAAAAGAGTAAGCTTGTAATCTTTTGTACTTCTTATTGTCATTGGATTGTTTTGAAATGGAAATAGCATATTCATATTTTTTCCTGTAAGATAAGTATTATAAATAACCAGTTAACAGAAACAAAAATAGTGACAGACTGGCGTTACAACTTTTTTTTTATTACTTATTTTTAGGGCTGTTCTTGAGGTTGCCTTGTGTAGTTTGACCTACTTTCAATTCTTGTGTGTGTTGTTTTCTTTCACTCACACATTCTTCTAGATGCATGCAATTAGTTTCTTTCACTCAGGGTCCAATTCATTCATTGCTGATTTTTTCCTTCATTAGAAACAAAGTTTGAAACATTGTGTGAGTAAATTCAGCTCCAGACACATGGTTAAGTCGATTCAGGACAGTTCTGTCCTCTTGTGTCCAGCTCACTTCAAATCCTGGTTTTGAAATAGGAGGGATAATGGCAAAAATAAAGGAAGGCTTAGCTAATAAGGAAAAAAAAAGTGTCCTGCTCTTTAGAAAAGTGCCTTAAATAGCAGGAGAACTACTTTTGAAATTGCTTGGGTTTCATCCTTTCAGAAGTGAAAAAAAATTCCACTGAGGGAGAACACACAAAATTTTGAAAAAGCTGGGACTTAAGGAATTAACTATAGCTGAATAAGGCCATTGATAAACTTTTTCATTACTCTTGGTGGATATGACAAAGAGGTATTTGAGCTTCATTTGGAGCAAGGAGTGTTCAAGCTGGACATAGGGAGAACTTTTGTAACAATAAGGCTATTGAAGCTCTGGAGTAGATTGCCTGAGGAGACACTGGATTCTTCATCTTGGGAAGTCTTTTGAGGACAGGTTAGCTGGACCTCTGCTGTTCATGGCACATGTGTGACTGATACTGCCTTGAGGCAGGACAATGAGCTCAAGCTCTTCAGCCTAAGTTCTGTGATCCTGAGAGTTTGATTTACATGGGAGATGAAGAGGATGAGGGAACAGGTACATATGTGTGAGGAAAAGGATGGAACAATCCACAGAAGTACTTTTATCTGACACGTGTATTATGAATGCCTCAGGGTCATGTTTCTTTTCTCACTCCATGCTCATTAAATGAGGAAAAAAAGGAAGAAGAAGGGGGAAATCTGTCTGCTGAACAGAGAGTAACAGAGTGTTTTATACCCTGACAGACTCAACTAATGCCAGGTTTAACAGCACAATGAAAAATTAATTAGAAGCTTTTGCTGGTATATTAGTGCCACCTGGGGAGTGATATTTATGTGGTATTTTTATTCTGGCAAAAGTATTAAGGTAGGGAGAACCATACCAGCAAAGAGTGCTTTTTGTCAGAAGAGTTAATTTTGCTTGTGGAACTGGCACAGCTTTACTGGCAAAAAGGATTCCTTTGCATTCCAAGATCCTTGTACTGAAAGATTTATCAGGGCAATTGAGCAGAAAGTAGTTGATGGTTTAAAATACACTGTGGTTTTGTTTATTTGTGTGGGGGGAAGACAGCACATCCATTTTGCATTTGTTTAATTTGAGTATTTTGAAGTGCATGGTTTAACAAAATGCTGGGTTTGGGGTTTTGTGCAGGAGCTGTATAATAGAAGAGAGAAGCTTTCTACGATGTGAGGATCTCGTTTATGGCAGAATGTCCTTCAAAGGATTCAATCCTGAAGTTGAGGTACCATTTCAGTGTCCTGCTTTGAGGTTGTCTCACGTTAGGATTGAAGCCCTTGGGCATGGGGATTTGAGTGTTCACACTGCAGCCTTATTGGCCTTTGCAGCACTTTCCATAAATCCTTCTGTGTTCAGAAACTCCGTCATTCAACCCTAAATGTTGATCAATGCAGCGTCTGGTAAATAGAATCTTTTTAGCTCCCTGTGTTGTTGGTCAGTAATTGCATGACTCCTGTAGATTTTCCCTCCCTGAAGTGAGGAAACCATCCCACGTGCTGCTTACCAAAACAAAAGCTCACTTTTCCTCCTGACATAGAATGCAGAGTCCAGTCTACAAACACTATTTATTCAACACTTAGAGTTCCAAAGTAAAAATGCTGGGCAAGAGTCTTTTATTTCTTTCTGGCATGATTCATGCTGACAGAAGTACACAGGGACAGTATTGAAAAGGTTAGCACTGAACCTGAAGCAGGAGGATGGAGGTGTAAAGACTAAGAGATTTGCAGAAGGCTATGTAAGGTAATTTACTAGGAGATTCTTTTAGTTACTTTGAACTTGCTGTCCCTGTGACTGAGCATATGATTGCTTCATGGCTTTTACTGCAAATCCTTGAAGATATTCTTTCTTTTTAACAAAACCATTTCAAGGTCTGTGTGCTAAAATCACGATTTAAAATTAATTACGATCTAACTCTCTGGTCTCCTGTAGATGTTTGGAGGAGTGCCCTTTAGGATGTTTGAGTAGTACAATACACTGAAAACACTGTCTCCGTTGCATTTTCTTCATGAGTTTTCATAATGATGGCCTCTAGCCTAACCAGGAACAGAAAATAATTACTAAATTTGATTCTTACCTCTTATGTTCTTCTACCAGTGAATTTCAGCACTGTTGCCATTGTGTCATGGTTACATGCTTATGCTGTTTCTCACTTCATTTTCAGAAGTTAATGATCCAAATGAACTCTAAGTGCAAGGAAGAAAAAATTGAAGAGGATGATAAAATGGAAGCTGATGTGTCAGATGAAGAAATGGCCAGAAGGTAAGTTACATTTTATGACATAATCAGTACTAGCTGGGAATATGATATGTTACTGTATTATGTGTGGGGAAATAAAACCCAAAAAGGAAACAAACAAAATAAAAAAGCCCACTCTATATATGGAACTGTACCAAATTGATTTTCCAGGAATTCTGGTGTATATTCACTTGAATATCCACCACATTTGGGGGTAAATTCTCTGTGACGTGTAGGGGTTTTGTGCCCTTTGATATCCAGGTATTCCATGCTAATTCCCTCCTTGTTACCAGCTGCTAACAAATTGAAACTATCAGAGTGAATAATAATGTAATAAGTCATGCAGTACTTGTGCTTCTCCAAGCTTTTAATGACCAGGTTTTTTACACCACTTGAATTGTTGATCATGTTTAGGATGTGCACCACGATTTTTCCTCTGATTTTGGTTGAAGGTGTAATTTTTTTTATTCTCTCTACAGATATGAAACATTAGTGGGAACAATAGGGAAGAAATTTTTGAGGAAAAGGGACCAACGCGTACTCAAGGATGATGATGAAGATGAAGATGATGAAGTTGAGGAGGGGAATAGCAACACAAGACCTAGTAAAAGAGCTAAGAAAATGTTCTTAAAACCTCAGGATTAATGTCAGCTGCACAAGTGGAGCTTGTTACCGGATGCCTACCAAACAGTACCAAGAACTGGAGATTGTTTGGAGTTTTTGCTATTTAATGTAAAGGGTGGATTTGTAAATCTGTTCTATTCTCATTGAAATTTCTACCATCCACAGGACTGACACTTTCCAAAGTGGGTGTTTATATAATGGATGTTGTACATCCTTTCCTCTCTCAGCAGCTTTTCATGAGTGGGGCACTCATCCCATCAGTCTCTTTAAATGTTCTGCATAGTTAAATTGAGTGTTGCATGCAATCAAAAGCTACATTATTTACAATTTAGGATAACATCTGAAAGAGGTATTTGGAGTAAAGATGAGCTGTGTCCAATTCAGTAAGGCAGTTCAGCTTTCACTGCTTGCTTTATTATGAAAATGAAACCTGTGCGCTCTTCAAATTGAAAAAAGTCAGCAGAAACATGCTTGGTTTGTGATCTTTTTTACTGTGCTAAAAATAAGATGGGAGAAGAACAGAAAGATAAAATCCACTTTATTGAATTTTATTTTTTATAAAGTTTATTTAAAAATAGAGGATTTTGTAGTGCAACTTTTTTTTATACAAGCCAAATATTGGGCAACGTTTACAGTTTGACATCTGAGCAGATTGTGAATCTTAGTTTCTGCCTTCCAAAAGAAATTTGCTAATTTTGCCTCTTTTTCAGCAAAAAAATCCAATCTTATAATTATGTAAGTCTTGTCATAAAAGCATAATAACAGTTTCGGAAACATACTTGAAAGCAGAATAAAAACTGTGCGGTTTTGTGTTAATGATTGTGGATTAGTTTATTTAGTGTAAAAAAATTATGCTTAATACAGTCTGATACAAGGAGAGATGCTGTTTTTGTGCTGGCCACAGATGTCCCCCAACATTTAGCTGAGTGCACTGATTTATTTAGCATGTGATGAAGCCATCTGAAGTAGTATTAGGATGGAAACACCATTCTCTTTGGTCAGTTGGTGCTCTGGGTCTTTTGAAAAACATCAGTGTGTTCTTGTCTAAAACCATAGCAGTTCTTTGTGTACAGCCTTTCAACAAGAAATATTGCTATTGCTACATTTCCTCAGGATGTCCAAGCTACTCATCCTTAATGCTTGCTCTCTGCAGAAAGGATTTTTTTAACTGAAGCAAGGAGTGGCCATTTTGCCAGGGGCATGAGGCTTTTTTCTGGTCTTTTTTTAACAGCTCAGTGAAGCAAGATGTGAAACTCAATTATTTAAAGAAGGACACACTGTGTCTGCTGTATTTTGCTTGTGATACATGAACTATGATCCATATATCAGGAGCACCTAATTAGATATTCAAGATGGATCACACATGGAAAGAGAAATATACTTTTAACCTAGTAAGGGGACTTTGTGCAGGTGGAAAGGCTGTGATTCATGATCTGAGGTAGTTTTTCAGAGCTAATTAAATGCTACTGGTTCAATTACTTAAAGCCTGATCATACATTACTGCTAGCTGAAAAGGAGTTAATGATGGCAAGACATTTTTCTTCCCACGGAAAATGTGACCTGAGCTATGAAATGATTTATTGTTGGTCATCACAAGAAAAACTTGGAACACATCCCATTATTCTTCTTGCTTATTAGTAGGAAAATGATTCCTTTGAATGGATTTCTTAAATGGAGGGTGAATTTCTGCATAGCTGTGCTGAATAAGCGAGGGGCGAGGTGTGTCCTGGTGAACCACCAGCAGCCAGGAGATGTCACTGCAGTTGCATGTCCTGGGAGACCGTGGGTTGGGGAAGTGTCCAGTGGTGCCATGTAAAGAAACTTCTGGGTTATTTTGGTAACAGCAGTGGCTGAGATGAATTCTATGTGGAGTCTTCCTTTTTCAGGGTTCTGCAGAGAGCTCTCCTGCATTGCAGGGTTCTCTTCAGTCCAGTGGGGAGTAATTCTCATCAAAGGGCATTCTGCCTCCTTAATTTCATGTCATTTCCTGAGGGATACCTGGACATGAGAGTGGCATGGTGCATGGATAAGCACATGGGAAGCTAAACAGCTTCCTAGAAAATCCACGATTTTGGAATTGGGACAGAGGAAGGTGGTTCTGATTCAATAGAACTGTGTTGAACAAACTGTGAAGAAAAGGTAGATTTTAGTTTATTGTCTTTAAATCTGGGAGCTTTGCTGTTCACATTCAGCTGGTGGCTCAGTGCTACAGTAAAACCAGCTACTTATTTTTAGCACAATCTTTTATTCATGGGGCATTTGCAAAATGTGCCTTTAAAAGCACCATCCGTAGTGTGTTATTGTGAGCAAGACAAACCAAATCTCATCCCTGTGTGACTTTTTAAATGTACTTTAAGTACAGAGTTAAAAGCAGACATGGTGGGGTGTTCCGAAATACCTGTCTGCATTTCCAATGGTATAAATACATTTATGGATGGATTTAAGTCCGACTCAAGCTTCCTACCTGAGGTAGAAACATTCTGCTGTATAAAATCTATGCTTGAACTACTCTTGACAGTGGTGTAAGCACAGCAGTGAAATATTCTTAAAGCAAACCTGCATCGATTCAGGCTTTCTTGGTTCTGACACAGGCTCCAGTACATTTTATGTGCAAGCTCCTAAGCTGTAGCACTTTCCCACGTGGTCATGTTTCTAAATGAAAAGTGTTTCTTCTTTGAAAACAGAAGCAAGTTGGGTAAGTAGTGGTTTTATTACAGAAAATGGCTACCTGCAAACTGGTAAAGTGTTACCAGACTCCAGAAGTGTTCGTGCCTGTGACCCTGAAGTGTGGTGCCCACTGACAGCTCACGAATGTCTGTCCCTTCTCATGTGAAGTTTGGTCCCTCCCTTTGGCAAGCTGGTGGTGCTTATTTTGTAATAACTGCTGGGCTTGAAAATATGGAAGTGTTGAACAACTTTGTCTTTCTTGCTGATGTTTCTGTTTTGCTTTTATTTTGCTTAGTATTGGATCTTAAAAGTCCAGGACCAGAGTCCAACTGAAGTGAGCCATCCAGTGTGAATTTAGTAATGCTTGAGCTGATTAAACTTTGGTTCTTGGGGAGGGGCAGGATGTTCAGTGGTGCTGTGGAGTTTGAACCATGGTTCTTGTGCTCTGTGTCTCGTTCCCTAATGAGAATCTCATTATGCAATGCCCCAGCCACGGGTGGCTGTCGTTGCCATTGGGCATTGCCTGTGAGTGTAATGGGCAGCTGGGCTGGGATTCTGGGACTTCATCCAGCATTCAGACTTTTAAAGAAATTGTTTGTCTTTTTCTTGATTGGAATACCATGCTTTTAAATTGTATTTGGAATTAGATGAGTGTGGGGGTGGAGGGGGGCGGTTTCTCAGCATTTGTTTTGCTTCATTTGAACAACAGTCCACAACTAAAACTGCAAAATCACTTAGGCTCTCATTAAACCCTTCTCTGAGAATGCTAATAAAGCATTGTGGTAGGGAAGGATGGCAGCCATCCCACAGTTCCCTACCACATGGGAATTCAAGTTTCTGTGAGAGCTGATGCTTTAAGGACTTGGTGGTTTGTTTTCTTTTCAGGCTGGGAGAACATCAGTTTCCACAATACTGCCTTGCTAATGGAACCCCAGCATGAGGCTTCAGGTTTTGTTTGGTTTTGTTTGGTTTTACACCATTCTTATCTCAAACCTCTGAGAGATTTCAGGCCTGGCATTCACACCTCAATAACCTGCTTTCATCAGCTTTTGGGGAGCTTTAGTTAAACTGTGAAACTGTTCCTTAGCTGGATGTGTTGACGTTTCTTTGTGTGATTTCATGTTTCTCAGTGAGGACCTGCTTATAATTGTCACATCAAGATGAAAAATTAACAGATGGGAGTCAGGGAGATGCTTGGAGCCTCAATCACCAGCAGCTCTGTAGATCTTTGGTAAGAACCAAGCAGAGAAGGGGTAGCTGGGTGAGTCCCATCACTGCAGGCCCAGTTAAATGCTGATAGGAGCCCATCACTGCCCATGAAACCCTTGCATACCAAAATCCAAGCAATTACCTGGGAGCAACAGCAGGAAAACCTCTAGGGAAGTTGGGAGGTAAAATATTCACCCTGTTAATGGCTGTCCTCAAGACAAGAAAGCAGCTGTGGTTGATGGCACAGAGCAATGTGGTTTGGTGGGCTGGGTAAATGAGAATCCCATCAGATAGAGTGGAGGTGGTCAGTGTTTTGAAGCTTGTAATGTTCCCTGAGGTCTCGGGGAACACCTTGTCATGATCAATTATTTAGGAGGGGGTAAAAACCTTTAATAGGATATTAATATGAGGAAATAACACAAATTACTGAACAAATTCCATAATTCCATTATTAACAGAAAAGCTGTGTTCTGGCCTCAGTAAGATCTTTCAGTGTCCCCTGTCCCCTTGGCTCTCAGTTCCTCGTCCCTGTGCAACTATCTGTGCACCCAGGCCATGAGATGCCACCACAGGTGGTCACACAAAGAGCTGGCACACACCACAATCTGCCAAGCCCAGCAGAGATAACACCTGGGCCTCCTCTTCAGTGATCATCTTCCTCACCTACAACCTCTTCCTCCAGGTACCTGTAGGAATTCACCATCTCCAACACCACTGCTGCATTTGTTCAATGTTTAATTCAAGAAGATAACAGGTTCCAAGGAACAGGTAACAAGTGACTGGATATCAAGAAATGGCCTCCAATTATGCCAGGGAAGGTTTTGATTAGATACTAGGAAAGTTTTTTTCACAGGCTTGGAAAGGACTGGAGGACTGTCGAGGGCAGTGGTGGAGTCACCATCGCTGAAGTGGCACCTGAAGGACAGAGTTTACTGAACATGGTTGTGATGTTGGGTTGATTGTTGAACTCTATGATCTTAAAGGGCTTTTCCAACCTCAGTGATCCCGTGATCCTAAGAATTTTGAGGTGGGAAGGGTTGGCCAGCAGATCAGCATGAGTGAACAGCCCTCACTTGGCAGATGGGGTGTGCAGGAGTTGGTGCAGCTGGGGGCAGCTGTGCCTAAAACAACTCATAATGTCTTTATTTACCTTTTATTTATTTTCAGGTGTACACTTACAACATTTGTGAGATTAATGATCAGATTATGTCTTTCAGCAAAAAGACTATTCAGTGGGAGGAATCAACATTTGACCGATGCTCAGGCTTATTACAGACTGGGGAGAAAGAGTGTTTTTAGTGTTTCTGCTATTTTTTGATGCATTTAATAATGTTTCGCCTTTCTTAGTGGTTTCCTTGGTTGGGCTTTTTGCAGAGAAGCATGGTAGGAGGAACAATATTTTCTGGAAAATGGGGAAACATGATTGTCAAAAAATAAAAGGTTTCCTTTAGATTTGGCTGGCTTCTTGGGTTGTTTTTTCTCTTTGATACAGATGAACAAACACTAATGGCATTAAAGTTCCTGTGCTAAGTGGTACCCATGGAGGACAGCCATATAGACACTCATGTTTGCAGAACAAAATTAAGGGTATAGTGGGCTTAGCTTCATGTACAAATATAATGCAGTCCTAAAAGTACAGAATTTCTTCCCCTTTTGGGACAAAAGTAAATCTAAGCCAGCTGTGACATTTAAGTACCAGTCACAGTTTATAGGATGATTATATCTCAGAAACAAAGCTTAGTAGTTATCTCCTTAGAGCCCATCAGCCACAATAACACTGCAATATGTAGAATTTTCATCACCAGAAGAATAGCTACATACCAAAAATTACTTGGGGCAGTTTACTGCAGTAATGGCCAGAGGGATGCACATGATGACGATTTTCATTTTGTACTATGGTTTTTCTAAGGATGATGGTGAAAGAATTATTCCTCCTAATG